TTATTATGGTATAGTATTTAAATATATGCCTGAGAAACACATAATATTGGCCTTTTAAGAGAAACTGTCAACTTTAAAAATAGCTCCATAAAATGATGAGCTTCTGAAAAATGTTGCTGGTGCAAAATTTCCAACATTAATCTTAAATCGTAAAAATCAATCAAAAGAAATGTTAAACAGTAACAAACGTCTGTGTGTCACTCCCTGTCTCTGCCAGGTTAAGAGAAGCAGACAGAAACAAACAAAAACAGGCCTCAAACAAACAGCTGCTGAGCACAAACTGAAAGTTGTATCTTTAAAAAAATCTTTGCCTATGAGCGTCCGACGGCTCCGATTTTGTTGCAGTGTTTTACATCGGAGATATAAGATAAAAAAAGACCCTTCACTCCCGATTTTGAAGAGAAACTTTTGAGCTAAAATAGTCTATAGAAGCTCGGGTGGGTTGAGAGCAAACCACAATAAAAACCACTGCAGCAGTAAAAAACACACTGAAGGAAAGAAGACGAAAGAACCCCTACATTTGATGTATAATTTGTGTTTGTATCAAAAAAGTTGTGAAAGGAAAGAAGAGTTTGTTTTGCAAAAGTTTTTAAAAGTGAGACATCATCAGCTGTCAAACATTTTATTCTAAACATCATAAAATATGAACTACAATTGTTTACAAACCGTAGAAGATAAAAGTCCATCTGTCTGTGAGCTGTTTCATCTTTGAATCATGTTTCTGTTGTGAAGTCTGCCTCAGCTGTAGCTGTAGTTTTCTTGTGTTCTTAAATGCATTTGATCAGCAGCTGTTCATGTTTGATGAGTCACTATCAAACGTTATGGCAGACTACTCCTGACTAAGCTATGCTTTGATGTATAATTTGCCTGCTTTCGTTTTTAAATCAGGGATAATAGTAGTTCAGTTGGATTTAGGTTTGATGTATATTTTTGTGCAGATTTTCACTTGGAGCAGCAGCTGAGTGACGTGGCCCTACAGACCGCTCTGTGCAGCTCCTCACGCCACTACGCCGGGCGCTCCTTCCAGATCTTCCGAGCCCTCAAACAGCCCATCAACAACCACGCCGTCTCGGACCTGGTCTCCCGTCTCGTGGAGGTGGTGGGAGAACACGGAGACGAGGTGCAGGTAGGAAACGAAACGAAAGGTTATTTATCCGAAACATAACGTCTGCTTGAGACACGTCGGTGTAATTTGACACGTGGGTTTCAGGGCTATGTGATGGAGGTGCTGCTGACGCTGGAGTCTGTGGTGGTGAATCTAGCAGAGTGCATGAAAAATAGTGACCTTATGGCGGCACTCACCAGGTAGGATTGTAAATTTTTTTATGGGGTGCCGTTTGTAAAGTTACACAGTCAAAATTTACCTCCAATATTTTTGTTTTATTTAACCTTTTATAAGAAAAAAAACAGATTTATTTTTCAAAGTCAGTTTTTCACCATATGATTCATACATTTATAAATGTCATAGTTTATAAACTAAATATTTAACTTACAAATTAAACATTTAGTTAACAAGCTAAATATTTAACTTGTGACTTAAATAATTAGTTTTGAGCGAAATATTTAGCTTGAAACTTAAATATTTAGGTGGCTAGCAAAATATTTAACTTGCTAGCTAAATATTTAAGTTGTAACCTAAATATTTAGGTAGCTAGCTAAATATTTAAGTTAAATATTTAGACAGCTAGCTAAATGTTTAAGTTTCAAGCTAAATATTTAGCTCAAAACTGAATATTTAAGTCACAAGTTAAATATTTAGCTTGTTAACTAAATATTTAATTTGTAAGTTAAATATTTAGTTTATAAACTATGACATTTAAAAATGTATGAATCATATGGTGAAAAACTGACTTTGAAAAATAAATCAGTTCTTTTTTCTTATAAAAGGCTAAATAAAACAAAAATATTGGTGGTAATTTTTGACTGTGTAACTTTACAAACGGCACCCTATAATTTTTAACATATTTTGTAAATGTGTAGAAAACTATTTTTTATTTCCAGTAATACTATCAAATAACTTTTTTTTTCAAATCATATTTATTTAACCTGCGTGTTCTGTGTTTGATTGACAGGACGTCCTCACCGGACTTTGTGACAAGTGACAAACTGATGAACAGAAAGAGCACGGGTCAGCTGAATTTCCCCGGCCCCGGATTCGCTGGTCTGTCGTCACAACGCCACCAGCGCTCCTATTCTGTCCCCAAGAAATTTGGCGAGTGCAGCCACCTGTCGAGTGACCCTCCACGCAGCGCAACTCTGGATCGTATACAGGCAAGAAGAAGATTTGCGAGTCGTTGATATTTTTTGTACGCATTTCTAACTTAAGTGCTCGTTTTCAATCGGCAGGCTGGCAACAGTTTTACCAGAATAGCGAGAACCCCAGGGTCCTGCACCTCGTCGACTAATCGCATCGATCCCAGCGTGCTGTCAGACCCTTCACACGTGTCTCATCCTTTATCCATCCTGGCCACGGTCTTCTGGGTGGCCGTGTCCCTCATGGAGTCAGACTTTGAGTTTGAATATCAGATGTCCCTTCGCCTTGTTCACAAACTGCTGTCAAAGGTAGGGAAGAGGAAACTTACCTGTCCAAACATGAAAACAGAAGTCCTCGCAGAATTAACTTGTTTATTTATGCAGGTGTTTGCCTTTTATTTTTATTTAGAAAATATAAATGTGTCAATAAAAACATAGAGTTAAATATCACTAAAGTGAGCCCCTCCTATCCGGTCCACAGTTAGCATCTGTGACAACATGGAGGAGCAAAAATGGCGACCAAACAGGGCGTCGCCTCACACATAGCAAACCCAAGTGGGTCTGTGTCACAAATTATCTGTAATATTTTTACAATAAATTAATATAATTATGTTAACAGCAAATATATACCAGACAAATATATAATTAAATAACAACGATCTAAATCAGACCTGAAGTCAATCAATAACTTAGATTTTTAGTTAGTTAAAAAAATTCGGACTTCAGCTAATAAAATATATTTATTATTTCTTACTGTCATAAACAATAATAATAAATATTTACCAGTCATTAACCGGTTTTAGGATGAAACTTGTCTCTGCTAATATTAGCTAACCATATTCTCAGCAGGTCAGGTTTGTCAAACAGAAACTTAAAAAAGTCAAATATATAATATTTTACACTTTGTAAATATTACATAAATCAGAGACAAAACTAGCTAACAATATTTAATAATTTGTGTTTAAGTTATAACATGATTCAGCAGTGCTATACTCTGTATAACAACATGCTACAGAAGCTAATCTCTGCTAACCAATTCAATAAAATAACAGTGATTACATCAGCTTTCCTACTTTTTTATATACATTAGATTATATACGCTCTAAAATATTATTGATAATTTTGTTATTTTATGATTTATACATCATCAGTCCTTTTTTTCCTCTATGTTGCCAACATGTACAGTGATCCTGACTGTTTCTATAAAACACTTAAAACTTCCCAGGTGCCCTTGGACAGAGCAGAGAACCGCGAGCGGCTGGAGAAGCTTCAAGCTCAGCTAAGATGGAGCGGCTTCTCTGGCATCCAGCAGCTTCTGCTGAAGGGTTTTACCTCGCAGACGACCTTTGACCTGACCTTGCAGCTCTTCTGTCAGCTCACACCCGTCTCCCGTGTGACTGTTGTGGACAGCTCACAGTCTATAGGTACATAGACGCTGTTATATACTTTAAATATTTAAAAGTTTTTTAGTTGTATTTATGTTGAGTGAAACTGAATTATGACCTTTTGTTACTGTGCAGGTTTTCCTCTAAATGTCTTGTGTCTGCTCCCTCACCTGGTGCAGAACTTCAGCCATCCGACACAGTTCTGTAAGGAAAGTGCAGAGAGGATCGCACAGGTAAATTAACGTTTCGACTTATTTTTGACCCGAGTGTATTTTGTTTCTTTGAGCATCATTTAGGACGATTAAGTCATCAAACAAGTTTATTAAAATATAAGAACGAAAGGCTAAAGTAGTTTAAAGAGATCCCTGATTAGTTGAAACATTAAACGTTATTTGATAAACATATATTTTAACTGTAAAATAAAGACTGTAAAAATACTGTAGGCTGTTTAGTTTTTATCATTTTTAAACTAAAAGTTTCAAAAATATATTACAAGGACGGAGCCATTTTATTTACATGCAAAGCATTCTGGGTAAATGATGACGTGGATAGGTTTTCGGTGCGAGGCTGCTAGCGAGCTATATCCACCCTGAAGGTTAATCTTGGACAAGCGCAAAGGCTAACAGGCTAAGCTG